TACAGGATTTCAAAAAACCTTTCTACTGAAGCTGGCAGCTGTTTCCTTTTTACATCAATGTCTTTATCGTTTAATTAGATGGTTTTTCCTGCAGACTGCTTTGGACATTTTAATAGAAGGGCAGCACAGAATCAGTGAATTGGAAGGGACCTTTGAGTTCATCTAATCCAGTCTTCAGAACAGTTCATGATTCAGCTACATCATTCCTGACAGATAGCAGTCCACCAACTCCCAAGGCAATCTACTCCACTGCCAAGCAGCTCTCTTACCTATTAGGATATTTATGCTAATATTTACTTAAAACCTGCTTCCTAGCTTTTTTCACTTATTGGTTCTAGCCTTGCCTCCTGGAACAACATATTATCTCTCTACTCCTTCTCCAATGTGCTGTTCATACAAATATTTGAAGACTGCTAGTATGCATCCCATTAAATTTCTCATTTCTAGTCAAAAGTCAACATAGGGCAATGGCTTGAGTGTTGGAGTATGAATCTGGAGGCCAGGGTTTGAATTCCTGCTCATTCAGGGAAACCCACTGGGTGACCTTGGGCAAGTTATATTCACTCAGCTTCAGAGGAGGGCAAAGGCAAAACCCCTCAGAAGAAATTCTGCCTACAAAACCCATGATACGCCATATTTTTTTCCTGTGTCATTAGTAGTTTGAGAAACTGCAAGTCGCTTCTGGTGTGAGAGAATTGGCTGTCTGCAAGGACATTTCCCAGAGGATGCCCGGAAGTTTTGATGTTTTACCATCCTTGTCGGAAGCTTCTCTTATGTCCCCACATGTGGAGCTGGAGCTGACAGAGGGAGCTCATCCTCGCTCTCCCTACATTCGAACCTCCGATCTATCAGTCTTCAGTCCGGCCAGCCACTGAGGCTCCCATAAATGAGAAATGACTTGAGATTGCATAAACACAACATAATACACCCCCTTAATTCTCCTCATTCCCAGCCCAAACATACATGGCTATGGGTTGCTGTGAGTTTTCCAGCCTATATGGCCCTGTTCCATAAGCATTCTCTCCTGACATTTCACCCACATCTATGGCAGGCATCCTCAAAGGTTGTGAGATATATTGGAATCTAGACAAGAGAGATTTATATATTTGTTGAAGTTCCAGGGTGGTAGAAAGAACTCTTGTCAGTTGGAGGCAAGTTTGGACCTTTGAGGATGCCTACCATAGATGTGGGTGAAACATCAGGAAAGAATGCTTCTGGAACATGGTCAAACAGCCCAGAAAACTCACAGCAACCCAGTGATTCCGGCCATGAAAGCCTTCAACAACATGGCTCTTTCAATTGCTCCAGTTTGCCAAGGTTTGCCTTCAGCATCCCACTCTCAACATGACACCATACTCCAAAAATTATCTCAGAATAGAGATTTGTTACTTCCCATAAACTGGATAATATGCTTCATTTAATAAATAAAAATGTAAAGTTCGTTTGTGGGATTAGCAGAACTCAAAAACCACTGGACGAATTGATACCAAATTTGGACACAATACACCTATCAGGCCAACGAGTGACCACCACTCATAAAAATACTGAAAAACACAGCAGAAGAGACTTAAAAAGCCAAAAAACAAAAATTGCATTACAATGCACGCACAAAACTACCTATGTGTGTGTGTGTGTGAGAGAGAGAGAGTGTGTGTGTGTGTGTAAGCACACATATACACAAATATATACACACACATATACACACACAAAACACATATACACAGACTGGGCCACAGCAACGCATGGCAGGTGACGGCTAGTGTAGATGAAAACTGTATTCATTTTTAAAGCAGATACATCACATTCATGGTCAACTTGAGATCCATTAAGACACTTAATTATCAATATTATAAATACATAAATAGAATGTATATATGTGACTAGTATATAGATCATGGGGAATACCTTTCTCATCCTTTCTCTCTTGTATGTGCGGTGAGAATAATCTGGAATCCATATAACATCTGCAATTGCTGCCATTCATGTATGAACATAGAAATACGGAGCAACGGATGATGAGATTGGATCTTGATTTTGTTTGAGATGCTAATGAGATGTTATATTGATGTTTAACTGTTTATTATGTTACAATTTTCTAATCGTTTTAAACTGTTTTTCTATGATGTCAAGCATTGAATTTTTGCTATTGTTAACCGCTTTGAGTCGCCTGAGAGCTGAGAAAAGCGGTATATAAATGAAGTAAATAAATGAAATAAATAAACCCTGGTTTCACTAATTTTTTGCTAACTTATATGTTGATATTTTGCATTACAGAGCCACAAGGGAAACACATATAGCTGTTGTTGTTTTTTTCTTAATCAAAAAACTCTGAAGGTAAAATTATTACAAAATTGGCTATACAGATTTATGGAAGTCTACTCAAAAGTTAGCCCCGCTGGGTTCAATGAGACTTGCTCTCAAGAAATTGTGTGGAACATTGAAGTCATAATCTTTTAAACGTATGTGGAGAGAAAGCTGGATACATGATCAGAAGGGGTAAATGTGCAATTCTGTAATATTTGAGAAGGAGCAGGTGTGCATGTAATTAAAGAGGTCTGTAATGCACACTCCCATCGCAGAAGGGCTCAAGTAGCCCAAGCATGAGGTGTGCAGAGTCCGGTTCGCTCACATCACACTCTATAAAGGGATCAAGAGCGATCAAGGGCCAACTGGATTCTCATGTAGAGATTATTTTCTTTTTCTTGTGCATTAATCTGAGGTTGTGAGCAGCATCTAACAAGATGTGGCCTTTCTTGTCAAACAAGCCAAGACTGCTCATGGTTTCACATCATCGTTCAGGATGTGGCAATATTCACATGAAGAAGCAATAATAAATACTCTAGAATATTTGCCAAGTAATATCTGTACCCGAGTACATGATAAAACTACACATCACCAAGATATAACAAAAGTATTTATTTATATTACAAAGATAGGCAAGCTCTGGATACAACAATGAGTTATTTAATCAGAAAGCCCATAGGTTGTATTTTGAACACTATGCAAACAGAGCTTGGATTCTGCAAAATGTTATATCATCTCCCAAAGTTTATTATTATTATCTTTATTTATTCTCAAACTGTGACTCAGGGTTTCAAAACGAAAACTCTGAAAAGTAGATCCATATCCAGAAAAGCTATCATGCAAAAATAAGAATCAGTCAATCTTAAAGGTACTGGCACATTTTTTTTCTTTTTCCTCCCCCTATAAAGAAGTGCAAATCTGTTGTTGTTTATTCATTCAGTCGCTTCCCACTCTTCATGACCTCATGAGCCAGCCCACGCCAGAACTCCCTGTCAGCCGTCGTCACCCCCAGCTACTTCAAGGTCAAGCCAGTCACTTCAAGGATGCCCTCCATCCACCTTGCCCTTGGTTGGCCCCTCTTCCTTTTTTCCCCATTTTCCCCAGCATCATTGTGTTCTCCTAGCTTTCCTGACTTCTCATTATGTGGCCTAAGTACTTCATCTTTGCCTCTAGTATCCTTCCCTCCAATGAGCAGTTGGGCTTTATTTCCTGAAGTATGGACTGGTTGGATCTTCTTGCGGTCCAAGGCACTCTCTGAATTTTCCTCCAACACCACAGTTCAAAAGTGTTTATCTTCCTTTGCTCAGCCTTTCTTATGGTGTAGCTCTCGCATCCATAGTTTACCATGGGGAATGCCATTACTTTAACTATGTGGATCTTTGTTGCCAGTGTGATGTCTCTACACTTCACTATTTTATCGAGATTGGTCATTGCTTTCCTCCCAAGAAGTGCAATATTTATTATATATGTATTTACCACATTTATACTTCACTCTTCTCAACACCAAGTGGCCTTACACATCGGCAACAATTCAATATCTTGAAAACAACAACATACAATCTAAAAACATTTATGTTAAAAACCAAAACAATTAAAACATCAAACATTAAACCAATTATTGAAACCACACAGTCCAAGATCGTAACCCAGAGCTATTCCAGTTGTCATTGAACAGATTCTACATTCATTTATTGCACTGTGGTTATTATCTGAAGGCTTGGTCCCATAGCCATGTGTTTACTTTCTTACTGAAGGCTAAGAGGGAAGGAGATGATCTAATATAACTGAGGAGGGAGTTCCATAGCTGAGGGGCCACCACTGAGAAGGCCCTGTCTCTTGTCCCCACCAACCGTGCCTGCGAAGGAGGTGGGAATGAGAGCAGGGCCTCCCCTGAAGACCTTCACCCATGAGGGGTTCATAGAGGGAGATACGTTCAGACAGGTAAGCTGGGCCAGAACCGTTTAGGGCTTCATTGGCTAAAGCCAGCACAATATAGTTAAATCATACAAAAAGAAACATTTTAAACCCAGTTTAAAACACACAAAAAGCAGTTTAGCAAGCAGGAACATTAAAACTGCAAGATATGCACTTGAAAGCCCTTTCTTTAGAAATCTTCTGTTCTCAAAAGTCTGCTGGAAAAAAAACCTTCGCCTGCTGATGGAAGGACAGCCGGCCTCCCTAGGAAAGGAGTTCCTGAGTCTAGAAGCTCTCCATTATTAATGTGCATCATTTATTACATTTATTATGTATTACTTTATAAGGGTAATAAATAATGTAATACGTAAATAATGCATTATTGATTACTTTTATATCACATGTTTCCTCCAAGGAGCATACAGCACTGTATGTAAGCTCAGAGCAATTTACAGGGGTGTCATAGGGACTAATTTTAGCCTCACCACAACCCTGTAAGGTAGGTCAGAATGAAAGAGAATGACTGGCCTCTCAACTTCCCTATTGATTCTCAATAGTGAAAGAGCTGTCATTTTCCTAGATCAGACATGGAGAGCCTCCAGCTCTCCTAGTATTGCTACAACCCCCAGCATCCCTGCTCATTAGTCATGTTGGAGCTGATGGGAGCCAAAATCCAACAACACCCCAGAGTCACAGTTTCCTTGTCTCTGTCTGATATATGCTTAAATGATTGAGAATTTGTAATAGTGTTGAAAATAGGAAGTATCCTCATTGCTGCTTACCTAAAAGAGTCTGGATATTCTACAAGGGCCATGTTGACGACATCTAAGGCATGCTGATAGTGTTTTTGGGCCGAAAAAAGGAGTGCCAGCAGATGGAGAGAATTCATGTCATCCTTGCATAGTTTCAGTGCTTCCTGGAGTTGTTCTATTGCATCACAAATCTGGAAAATAAAAATGAAAGATTTCTCTCACTTAAGTCTGGCATTCACTTCTGTGCAGATGCATCAGGTCTGGCCTCTGAGTATAGCAAAACAAGGCAAAACTAAAACCCTAAGCTAAATTATCAGTGAAGGCAGAATCAATAACATCCAATATAGGTTGAGAATCCCTTATTTGTAATTCTAAAATCCAAAATACTCCAAAATCCAAAACTGTCAACATGGGTGGCTGAGATAGTGATACTTTTATAATCGTTTAATATAGACAAATGTTGCTCCATGCACAAAATGATTCCAAATGTTGTATAATGTTACTTTCAGGTCATGTATATAATGTGTATCTGAAGCATACATGAATTTTGTGTTTAGATTTGGGTCCCATCTCCAAGATCTTATTATGTTAATATATATATCTCAAATACAGGTATTTCAAAATGGGAAAAATCCAAAATCCCAAACACTTTTGGCACCAAGCATTTTGGATAAGGGATACTCAGCCTTTAGCAAGAAATGGAGGCAACTCACTGGAAAAGCAGGGATACAAAAGCTATCATCTTTGCAGATGAGTACTCTGTGCCTTATTTATTTATTTTTATATTTACCGTACTTGTATCCCGCCTTTCTCAACCCTGAAGGGAACTCAAGGCAGCCTTACAAAAGCAACAATGCAATGCCTCATGTACACATACATCAATGAATAAACAAACATTAAACCCAACCAATTAAAACATAGCATTAAAACAACGATTAAAATCACATAATCCAGGTCATATTCCAGAGTCAGTCCAAGTTGTCATTAAGTTAATTTATAGTTTCTTATTGCACTGCTCCCATTATTGACCAAAAGTCTGATTCCAGAGCCATGTTTTCAGTTTTTTCCTGAAGGCCAGGAGGGAAGGGGCCGGTCTAACCTCACTGGGAAGGGAGTTCTGTAGATGAGGGGCCACCACTGAGAAAGCCCTGTCTCTCGTCCCCACCAGTTACACTTGCGAGGGGGGTGGGACCAAGAGGAGGCCTTCACCACCGATCTGAGCCTCTAGGGTGGACCATAGAGGGAGATACAGGTAAGCTGGGTCAGAACCGTTTAGGGCTTTATAGGCTAAAGCCAGCAATTTGAATTGTGTTCGGTAGCTGAATGACAGCCAGTGGAGCTGACACAACAGAGGAGTTGTATGTTACCTGTACACTACTCCAGTGAGTAATTTGGCTGCTGCCTGATGGACCATTTGAAGTTTCTGAGCAGTTTTATTATTTATTTATTTGTTTATTTCCAACATTTTGACCCCACCCTTCTCAACCCCCGAGGGTGGGACTCAGAGCGGTTTACACTGGCAAAAATTTGAAGCCAAATGAGCAAACAAATACAGCAAATATAACAATGATTTAAAATGATAAATAAAACAGGAAGTTTAAACAATTTAAGGCATTATTATCAAGCCATATAACCATTTCCAATTCAGTTCAACCTCCAAAGTACTGTCATGGCACAAATATCCAATATGCCCAAATATGAATACTGGTGGGGTTGGGGGAGATTGATTTTGTCATTTGGGAGTTGTAGTTGCTGGGATTTATAGTTGTCCTACAAGCAAAGAGCATTCCGAACTCCACCAACGATTGAATTGAACCCGACTTGGCACAAAGAACTCCCATGACCAACAGAAAATACTGGAAGGGTTAGGTGAGTTTTGGAATTGCAGTCCGCCTACATCCAGAGAGCACTGTGGACTCAATCAATGTTGGATCTGGACCAAACTTTGCACGAATGCTCAATATCCCCAAATCTGAACTGGTGGAGTTTGGGGGAAATAGACTTGACATTTGGGAGTTCTAGTTGCTGAGATTTATAGTTCACCTACAATCAAAGAGCATTCTAAAGCCTACCAACAATAGAATTGGGCCAATCATTCTACACAGAACCCCCATAACCAACAAAAATATTGTATTTTCTGATGGTCTTCTGACACTCCAGGGGTCCCGACTCCCAGGTTGAGAAACACTGCTGTACAGGGATAAATGTAGCAAAAGGAAATACAAAAGTAAATGCTCCGGAAACCAAGCCCTACGAGGAGCAGCTTTGGGATCTGGGTTATGAAGAGAAGGTTAAGAAGGGACATGATAGCTATGCTTAAATATTTGAAAGGCTGTCACATTGATGAGGGAGCAAGCTTGGTTTCTACTGCTCCAAATACTCAGACACAAAGCAGCAGATTCAAACCACAGGAAGAGAGATTTTGCTTATACATTAGGAAGAACTTCCTGACAGTAAGAGCTGTCGGACATTGAAATATGCTGCCCTGAAGGATGGTGGAGTCGCATCTCAAGGTTTTTAAGCAGAGGCTGGATGGTCATCTGTCAAGAGTGTCTTATGCAATCCTGCATGGCTGGGGGTTGAACTGGATGGCCTTTGTGGTCTCTTCCAAATCTATGATTTGATAAAAGAAACAAGCAAACAAATAAAAGGAAGTGTCTCCCGTAAAGATTCTGTGTTTTCACTTTTCTGAATGTGAGAATCTTATATAGCAGTGTTTCTCAACCGTCCTGATGCTGCAACCACTTAATACAGTTCCTCATGTTGTGATGAGCGAAACCGTGAAGGGCTACCCAAGACGGGACGGTCGTGGCAGAGAGGTCAGACCAAGCGTGATCCCTGGGGAAGGCAATGGCAAACCACCCCAGTATCCTTGCCAAGAAAACTAAATGGACCAGTACAACCAGAGATATGTCGGTATGCCATTGGAAGATGGGACTCCCAGGTCGGAAGATGGCAAAATGCTACTGGGGAGGAGCAGAGGATAAGTTCAACTAGCCCCAGATGTGATGACGCAGCTAGCTCAAAGCCGAAAGGAAGGCTAGCGGCCGACGGTACTGGAGGTGAACGACGAATCCGATGCTCTAAGATCAACACACCATAGGAACCTGGAATGTAAGATCTATGAGCCAGGGCAAATTGGATGTTGTTATTGGTGAGATGTCAAGACTAAAGATAGACATTGTGGGGGTCAGCGAACTGAAATGGACTGGAATGGGCCACTTCACATCAGATGACCACCAGATCTACTACTGCGGACAAGAGGAACATCGAAGAAATGGAGTAGCCTTCATAATTAATAAGAAATTCGCTAAAGCGGTGCTTGGATACAATCCAAAAAATGACTGAATGATCTCAGTTCGAGTTCAAGGCAAGCCATTTAACATCACAGTGATTCAAATATACGCCCCAGCCACAGCTGCTGAAGAAGCAGAAGTAGATCAGTTATATGAGGATCTTTTGTACCTACTGGATAATACACCAAAAAGAGACATTATTTTCATTACAGGAGACTGGAATGCCAAGGTGGGAAGTCAAATGACAACTGGGATCACAGGCAAGCATGGTCTGGGAGAACAAAATGAAGCGGGACGCAGGCTGATAGAATTTTGCCAGGAAAACTCACTGTGTATAGCAAACACTCTCTTCCAACAACCTAAAAGACGGCTTTATACATGGACTTAACCAGATGGTCAGCACCGAAATCAGATTGACTACATCCTTTGCAGCCAAAGGTGACAGACATCCATCCAGTCGGTGAAAACCACACCTTTCATTAACATGCAAAAAAGAATGAAATCTATATCTATATCTATATCTATATATATATAATAAAGAAGAGTGTTTGTATCGGACAGAGGAATTGTGGAGGGAGGGCGGTGTATGTGGCAGCGTTCTGATTGGCTGCCGCTGTGGTGCTATTTGCATATGGTCTCTGATTGGCCAGCTTCAATAGGAGCCCCTGGTGGAGAAGAGGGTTCATGGCAGAAACGGGGCATGACAGAAGGAAATTTGCATATGGTCTCTGATTGGCCAGCCTCAAATCCAACATTCCGAGATGACAACGAGAGGAAAGGAAAGGCCGGGGGCTGGGTCAGAACACTCCAATACAGACCGAAAGAGGCACACAGAGCCCCCATGACCCACTCTACATCCTACTGCAGTTTGGAGGAGGATGAACCATGGATGATGGGACTTGCAGTACCATCACTCACATTCTGAGACCGCTGTTAACCTCATCCAATGACTGATCAGGACCAAACTTGGCACATAGACCTCTCATGACCCACTTTACGCTCTGGTGTGGTTTGGCCGGGGATGGACCATGGATTATGGGACTTGCAGTACATTTGCTCAATTCTTGAGACCACTGCAACCCTCATCCAATTACCGATAAAGACCAAACTTGGCACACTGAGTCTCCATGATGCACTCTACATCCTGGTGTGGCTTGGAGGAGGATGCACCATGGACGATGGGACTTGCAATACCTGCACTCCCTTCCTAAGACCATTACAACTGCCAACGATGATGGATCAGGACCACAATTTACACAGAGAGCCTGCATAACTCACTCTACATCCTGGTGCGGTTTGGAAGAATTTGACAATGGATGATGGGACTTGCAGTCACTTCAATCACTTCCTGAGACCACTGAGACCCTCGCCAATGACACATCAAGACTAAACTTGGCACATGGAGCTTCAATGACCCACTCTACATCCTGGAGCAGTTTGGAGGATGACAGACCATGGATGATGGGACTTCAAGTACCTCCACTACCCAAGACTGCTGCAAAACTCATCTAATGACCAATCAAGACCAAAGTTGGCACACAGAGCCCCCATGACCCACTCTACATCCTGCTGCAGTTTTTGAGGAGGGTTGACCATGGATATGGAACTTCCAGGACCTTCACTCACATTCTGAGACCTCTGCAAACCTCATCCAATGACGGATCAAGACCAAACTTGGCACATAGACCTCTCATGACCCACGTTACGTCCTGGTGTTGTTTGGAAAACTTTGGAGATGGATGATGGGACTTGCAGTACCTTTGCTCACTTCCTGAGACCACTGAGACCCTCGCCAATGACTAATCAGGACTACACTTGGCACATGGAGCTCCAATGACCCACTC